CCAGCAGCACAGATACACTCATAATTATTTATTTTGTCTCTACATGTAGCTCCATTCTGACAAGGAGATATGAGACATTCATCAATGTCCGTGTCACACAGTTTGCCAGAGTAACCGGGTTCGCACCGACAACTGAATCCTCCGAGAAGATTTACACAAGAAGCAATGTTAGTGCAAGGCGATGAGGCACACTCGTCGATGTCTTCTTCGCAATTATAGCCTCGGTAACCATAAGCGCATGAGCAAGTATAATTATCAACCATGTCATGACATGTACCATTGTTAAAACAGGGTTGTTCTTTACAGTCGTCAATGTTGGTGTCACATTGCTTTCCAGTGTAGCCCGGTTTACATGAGCATAAGAAGTCGCCAATTAGGTCTGTGCATGTGGAATCATTGCTGCATGGGCTAGTATCACACTCATCGATTTCTATAAAAAAAGAAAAACGAAACAAAACAAACAAGCAAATAAAGAAATAATAATTATGATAATAATAATAACAATAATACTAGAACCGATAATTATAATAATAATGATATTAATAGGCGGAAAAATCACTCCAGCAAGAAAATAGACCCCTTTTCAGTGAGTTATCCATGAAAGATTTGCGTCACGGAAGGTATATTTCACTGTATATATTTAATATTACTTTCGACTTTTAACTGGACTTTCTTTCGTCTAGTAAGCTTTACCAGCATGATTATTACCGAAGCACGCTAAATTCCCCTTTCTCGTTTTGTTTCCTTGCATTGATCTTACTATTACGGCAAAACATATTCGATCGGAACGACGTCAACAATCCTTATCCAGCCTTGATGGCACGCCTGAATAGACTGATGAGGTAGATATTTCTAACCCCGGAAATTGTCAAACTTTGCTGTTGAGATGTATTGTGCATTCATAATTGCACAAATTTGGAAGGCCGGGTATTTCCTTCTTCACACAATAAACAAAGTTTGCCGAGATTGGTAATAATGTATACGTGACGTTTCCATTAAGACCTTGCTAGTTTGTTGCCATATGATGTTCGTGAGAGGTTGCAAAAAAATATCTCAGGTAAATCACTAAAGCCATTACTAAAAATAAACATTGCTTTTGTACCCGCCGATGTCGGACGCGTCATTTACAATCTTAAAGAAAGGAGAGATCTCGTGTTACGTCTTTTCAAGGTGCAACACACGTTTCGATCTTTCTCTTCACAAGTAATAAATGCAAAACCTCAAGCAAATCTATGCAGAAAAATCAAAAAAATAGAAAAACTCTTGGTTTTTTTTTTTTCTTTTAACAGCAATTACCGAAATATTGCAGGGTAACATTTCCAATGCCATAAAAAAGCCTTCCTCAAAGCCCCCTCGCCCTTAGTGTTTTAATCAATACTTTAACAAACCTATACAGTCCTGAGAGTTTCTTGATCCGTACATATTCGTTATTGTTGTTCCTGGACAAGGAAAACATGAACGACTCTCACTCTGTGGCTGAAATGAGAGCTTATTGCACAAAGTGCAAGGAGCCAATCCAGTCGGAGAATATGATCCTGGAGGACACGGCACTACGGGAAACATTAAAGAGAAGGGTACAAGGATTGCTTCATTACACCTACGTATCACAAGGGGAAAAAGCAACAAAATCTGTGTATCTTAGATGAAAACTTTTGATAATACCTCTGCACTGCATTGAACTATTGGATCCTTCTTTGGAAGTTGTTTTGTTTACGCCACATTTAAAGCAGGCTCTCTGTCCTTCTATTTCTTGATAAAAGCCCTTACCGCAGGATATACACGGTTCTAATCCAGTGGGGGAATATGTCCCAGGCAGACATAAAGCTTGCCGAGAAAAAAGAGAACAAGAACATTAAACGACGAAAAAGAAAACAGTACACTCCAGGTGAGTGATTCAAGGGTAAAGTGGGTGATTTCGAATCTCGTCGCAACAGAAACAACAACAACAACAACAACAACAACAGTGACTTTAAAACATGGGAGAGGCATCTAAAATTTGAGACTAAAAGACCTTTGTTGAAGCCTTTTGAACTAGAAGAGTTTAAAATGAATTTATCAAAGGGGGCTGTTACTGTAAGACTTAAATTCAAACACAAGCTCGCCTGTAATCGTTTCCTTCCTTGAACTAATTTCAAGGTGGGCTAGACATTAACGAAACGGGTTTAACGCTCGCACAAGCTCTTTTATGAAACAAACCATGAACATTGATTGCTGTAAACAACGATGGTAAACAACAGCTCAGAGAGAGTTTTCTTACTTTAAAAGCTCATGACGTTTGCGCCGTAAATCTAGCATATCTTGGATTGAAAATCTTATAGCTAACATTGATTTTGGACTTAATCGACAGTCATTAAAATCACGCATTCAGGCAAATAAGCATGCGCGCATCCCGAGAACAAGGTTTCTTATTTCAATCAATGGATCAGGTAAAAAAGTTACTATGATCCTTAGCTCTTGAACTAGCAGGGTGACCTATCTCCTTCATTGCATAATTTTGGTGTACAAACTATCCCATTTGTTTGGTTTTAAGTGTGTGTTGTTATTGTTATTGTTTGTCTGTTTGTTTGTTTTTTTTTTTTTTAGGTGTTCCTTTGAAAATCCCTAATTCCAGCAACTGAAAAGTGTACCGTGAACCGCTAAATGACACGCGTGATCACCACTAGTACATCGGTAGGGACATCGGTATGGAAAGTTTTATTAAAAAAAAAATTGTTTGATAACTATATTCTGACGAAAAACTTTAATTCTTTTTATTTTTGTTTTGTTTTGTTTTTTTGCTTATTTTTTTTTTTCGTTTCTTTCTTGTTGTTTCTGTTGTTGTGCGAACAAGCATTATCCAAGCCTTGCTAAGCTGACTAAATTAAAGACAATTAAAATCAAGGGGAAAGAATCTCAGGGTTTAATCTCCCCCACCTTATCAGAGGGCATCATACATTTTGTTCAGTATTTCGTGAGCTATGGAGTGGTTTGTAAACCTTACTGTAACGGACTGTGGCGAAAAATGTCAGGCAGAGCTGACAATCGAATCAACTGTAGGTTGTTTTGGTTGCGAAGGGTCTGGAGATCCTACAAAGGTGAAGCCTCTAGAAACAGAGGGCATACGCTGTTGAGATAAAGAGTTCTTGGAGCGAAAGACGATTTCCTAAAAGAAAATTCTCACCTTCTTTGATTTCTTTCATCCGCACCTATTGCACGTGATAAGCATGTTGATCATTTTTATGGAATCGTGATCGCTCTACTTCGTTTCTTTTGTTTCGTGATTGTTTACATAACATATTGCATTAGAAAAGGCTAATGTAGAAGTTACCTAAACAGTCGGATAGTTGTTCTGTTCTTGTCATCGTCGTGGAAGTTTGCGGTGGACACACAGAACAGTGCTCTTGTGCTTCAAACTCTTGATATGTTCCTATAGGACAGTCATTACATGTCCCAGTGTCGTTGTAGAAGTATGTTCCAGTCGTGCAGTTCACTAAGAAAGACAAAATGCGAAAGAATAAAGTTATTATGAGCAAAAAGTACTTGGTTGTCTCTATCTTATTAACTTTCGTTTTAATGATCCATCCATAAAGATGCCACGAGCAATTCCTAAAAAGCATTCGTTGCATAAGTTTTGTCATTCTGAAGATTGGCATTACATTCCAAACTGATATTTTCTTTTCCTTTTGTTCTTACATTACATTAACACTGGTGTTGCTTCATGACTCCCTCGTGGTAGGTGAGGAAATAAAAAAGAGGGGGAAGGGAGCAGGGGCTTTAGTCTAACTTCCAGAGTAAAACAGGGGGAAGGCTAAATATCATAAGAGGTAATAATTTTGGACGGACACTCTAGAGAATGAGAGAATGTTTTGTCTCTGCCCAGTTTTCTCACATAGTACATTATATTTAGAGATAATCTCTCTTTAAATAACATGTTTTTCCCAGAATTTTTTCCTAAGCATTTTTGATAGTCCTCAACGGGATCTTTTCTAGCATGACAATTGGCTGGCAAAATTTTGTCAGGAACTCACCATCTGTTCTGTTCAGACTACTAAAATGTTTTGTTCCGACTACTGAAATGTTTTGTTCAGACTACTAAAATAACTTCAAGCGAANTAGCCTCTGTACAGGTTTCCTTAGAAGCCCTTTCTTTGACTTCAAAACAACAGTACGGATCAAGCCGTCTTTTCCAGGTAGCAATCTTTCAACTCTTCCCATCGGCCACTTTCCTCTCCCTCCGTCATCTCTACGAGGGTGCCTGTAGGATCTGCGGTAAGGACGATGACGGCGACGATTCTGTGCCGGACGCTCTTCTCCCTCTTCTCCTCCTTCATGATCACCATCTCGTCGTTCTTCTTGTTCATCGCCTTCAGGGCGTTCCTCATCAGACCTGCGCCTATATCTGGGACGTCGTCGGCGGGGTCGCTTCTTCTCCTTATCATCCTCCTCCGGTTTAACCTCTCCGGTTTAACCTGTCTGGTTTAACCTCTCCGTTGGTAGCGGAGTTGGGCCCGCCACGGGAGCGGCGTCTCGCACGATGGAAATCTCGATAGTTGCGGTAGGAGTTTATTCGGCGGTGGGGAGCATATTTGCTTCCTTGCATAGGGCTTCCATCTGGTCCTGTCACGTTGGCTGCTTCTAGACCCTTCGCTCCTGATACAAGATCAAACTCCACTGTCTCCCCATCTCCGACACTGCGCAAGTACTTCCTGGGATTTTTCATCTTGATGACAGTCTGATGAACAAATATATCCTCCCTGTTGTGATCTCTGTTGATAAAGCCATAACCGTTCTTCACGTTAAACCACTTCACTGTACCGCTCACTTTACTGGCAACAACTTTTTTCTCAACCGGCTGTTTTTCTTCAACTCGAGGCTCCTCCGTCGTGGTCATGTTGCTCATGTTAGAGCCTCGTAGGGCTCTGCTACTAGGTGGTGTTTCCCCCAAAGGTCTTTTGATGTTCCGTCTGTTCATCGATGGATGGCGTCCTCTGTAAGCATTGGCTCTCTCTGGATTTCTTCTAAGCTGTCTTTCGACGCTCTCAAGTCTCTTGACTACCTGGCGGGAGTTTGACTTCAATGGCAGAGCATCGCTTTTCCATAACAGCGGTACTTCATAATGCTTACCATCAAACTTCAGTCCCTCGTTGAACTGTCTAACAAACTCTTCTTCCTCTAAGGACATAGATGCAATCCTTTTATCTACAATTCCAATAGATTCCAGCTTCCAAAACTGCTTAAGACTGTCCATGACTGGATCGATACACACGTTAGACAGCATGGATTGAGTGTTCTTGGAAGGAAGACCCTCGATGGGTCCTCCTACAATCCATCCAAGTGTTGACTCTACTGCTGTGGGAGCATGAGTGGTTTCCCCTTTCTTGCATTTACTACTCATGAATGAAAAGTAAAAGTCTGCTCCTATCAAAATATCGACGTTAACTGGTCCACGAGGGTACGAGCCAGCAAGTATCAAGTTCTGCAGGTGGGGGTAATCTTCTAACCTGATCTCCACTGGTTCTAGTGGTGTACAGATCTTGTCAATGATGAGGGCCTCCATGCTAGCTGGCGTTGAAATGTTTTCTTGAGCAGAGGCGAGCGAGAACCTGACTTTCCTCATTCTCTTCGTTTGACTGGTTTCTCCCCCTAACACGGATACACTAAGGACCTCAGAAGGTCCATCAAGGGCAAATGATTCGGCAACGTTCTTGTTGATATAAAACCTTTGGCTTCCTGAGTCAAACAAATCCCTTACAGGTGCTCTCTGGAAACCGTCTGAAACCAGCATGGCTGTCCCAGTCAGTAACAAGGTTTGTTGCATCTTGGAGTTGTACGAAGCCACAAATTCACTTAATGTTGCATGTCCCTTTTCCTCCGTGGTAGGATCCCAGTCACCATGAAGTATAGTGTGATGACGCCGGCCACATCCTTCAACCTTGCAATTGGGTTGGCGGCAGACTGAAGAATAGTGGAAAGTATTTGCAGGCTTTAAACAGTTAAAACAAAGCCGGCTCCTCCTTA